ACCTCCCTCATGTCCTGGGGCATGGCAGAATAATCCCACAAGCTGCATGTGGTGCCTGTTCTGCAGCTGGAGCTGCTAGTGAAGCTTGTATGTGTGAAACTTTAAAAAAAAACCTGACTGAGGTGTTTAAATCATGTAAAATATGGCAATAAATACCTGCTCTGCACTCATTATTATTGAGAGATTCACATGTGGAGTTGATAAATGTAATGATAGTGCTTGATTAGCTCAGTTTAGCTTAAGTAGCACCTGTATGCAGCTCACACACAAAGACTGAGTATAAATGAAATTGAACGGAATTAAATTGTTGAAAAAACAAAACAAAACAAAAACAAAACAAAACACAATGACGATATGCCAAATGTTTCCTCTAGTGGTCCTGGTCAAGGACTGACAGTGACGATGCCATCTGTCTGAGGCAGTGCAATTTGTCAAACTCATTATCTTCTGCAATTTTAAGCGGTGACCTCAGGGTGCACAGTACATGGGCCACAGTAAGTCACACAAAACATAGTGGGATCGAACTCTCTCTCTCTCTCCATTCATAAACCACCACAACACACACGACTGCATATGAATGTGTAGAGACACACACACAAACAAACAAACATCAAAAATCCTGTTACTAGCATCTGAGCAATGAACATTAATTTCTAAAAGACAGAAATTCTACCCTTCCCTTCCACACAACCTAAATGGCTTCAAAAAGCTTCTCTTAACATTTTCAATCAACCATGATGCATCTTCAGTTACTGGATAATATATCTGGTTCCTACATTTATCCAGACATAAGAGCAAGTGTAGATATTATTGTCCCTCGGAGCTATTTTCTCTCATGCAAGCTTTAGTGTGACTGCTAAGCTACAGAAGTCTGTAATACTGCACAGTATCAGACCAAATACAACTCCATTCAAATTCAATGCTTATAGAAGATTAACAGATTACCATGTTATCCATAGGAACATGTCATATCTAGGTCAACATTTAGTTCTTATCTTAAGTAAAACAATAAGTAAGTCTGGGATATACAACAGATTTAAATAAATCAATGCCTACATTAAAGGGCTGTGCCAAAGAGTTGATGTACAAAAATAAATCATTTAAAATAACCCTCAATGCTTACTTAAGCAAAAAAAAAAAAAACACTGTGGACTATTTTCACTGATAGTAAATTAAATATCTTATGTTTTAAACAAGACATCACCATGGGTTCTGGAACTTGTAATGAACATTTTCCCTATTTGCTCACTTCTTCTAGACCAAACTATCCATTAGATACAGACACAGATTAATTAACGATGTAAATATCTATTATTTGCAACCCTTAAACTGCAGATTAATGAGTATCTATAAATGTAGTTCATACAAAGCATAAGATTTCCATTCACATACTAACAGAACATAAGTGTGAGTTAGCAAAAAATTAAAGTAGAAGTCAGTAGAAATAAAATGGATGATGATGATAATTGTTTTCATTGTTATTATTATCATCATTGTTGATGTATTTACATGTTAATATTACAGCTTATCGAAGCTAGGCTAATTTTGACCACTTTCAACGCTGTATAATCTATGACGATGCAACAAATTCTATAAACTGATCATATGTTTTCAATGAAAAATCTTAATCTGTAAAGTAACAAGTATAAATAGCTGTCAAATAAATGTGGTGGAGTAAAATTTCTATCAGAAATTTACTATGACAGAAGTGTCAAGTAGCATAACATTTAAAAGTACCTTAAACTTCAGTAGTACTCAGTACTTCAGTAGACTGCTTGAGGTAAATGTACTGTACTTTCCACCACTGCAGACTGTATGTATCTCCATGACAAACATGGGTGGGTTTCAGTAATGAAGCGGTTTGGCTGTGCTACTCAAATTCCTCTCATACAATCAATGTGGGTTATCAAACGCATGCACGTATGTCAACTTGAATTCGCTCACACACCAGTGACCCCAAACAGTTGGTTTCATGGCCCACACTATCCCTCCTGCACACACCAACGTCTCCTCTCCCCCCTCTGTCTCCTGTTCTACCTGCCTCTCTCTGTCACTCACCAGCCTTCCCGTCCTCCCTCTCGGACCTCATGTCCTCCTTGGCACAGGCTCCGCTTGACTCCACTGTCAACTGTGGTGTGAGTTCTCATAGCAGGTGAAAAAAAATAAAAGACAGAACACACCCACACACACAAGCATATATGTACAGGCCACTGCACACACCATTCAAACCAACATACACGATGCACCACCACAGCCAGCCGCTCCCAGCCCTTCTCCCTGAGGCTCCGCCCAGTCAGGTTACTAGGAAGTTGTTCACTGAGAGCTGCTCAGCTACATTTCCTGCTCCTTTTCTTTCTTTTTCTTCTACTGAATGTGCCTCTGTTTCTCTCCCACCTTCTGTATACCTGTTTAGTGACACGCCCAGAGGCAGCTAGGACAACTTTCCCCCCCACACCCACTCACGCTTTTCATCTTTCATTCCCCATAGTGTACAAACGAGTAGGAGGGGGAGGGGAATCCAAACTGCACCTCAGGCCTCAGGTAATGAACCAGGTGAGTCAGTGGAGCTCTCGCTCCACCTGATGGCCGAGAGCTAGCAGAGGACAGTGTGTGCAATTATACTCACTGACTAGAAGAGAGAACAATACACCCCTCTGTATGAAAGCCAAGCGCTCCCTCTGAGCCCACAATGCCTTTGTAGCCTACATGAGTTTACATTACTCACTTCCTGAATGTGAATGTGTGTTTTGGCCAGAGGAGATAGGAATGTAAACTCTGAATAAAAATGCTCTGACTGTAAGCTTCAGCGTGAACGCCTGCAAAAAAAAAAAAAGGATCACGTCAGCAGTGTAGTGATATGAACCAAACTGCCTTAGCTGTACACACTCTGATTGGATTATTAATATGAACTCTCCAGTGTTATCTTTAATCCTCCAGGGATTTTTCCATGGACTGCTCTTCTGCCCAGTGCTGACTAAGAACAGTGCATGTCATGTTAGATGGGAACTCCGATGTGTGTGGACACAGTTACAGAGTAAATAAGGTTAAGGTTGGTCCAGTTTGCAGCTCAGGGTTCTTTAAGCCCAAAACCCTAAGGCAGGTATAAGCCAGTGGTTTGAAGAAAACAGATAGGGCTTCAACTGAATTAATTCAGCCTGCTGGATATAAATTTATAATGAAATTTTCAGTTTATGAGCACTTGAGTGACATAAGTAGCATACTAAAACACGAGTGTAAGCATAACGTGTGTGTGTGTGTCTGTGTTTGTGTGGAAGAGAAATTTGACTTAAACCTCTTGCATTTAAAGATGTGACAGCAGTTCAGAGTGAGCATGCCATTTGTCCTGCCTGTCAGAGGCTGACGTCCAGCGTTTTAGCTTCGTCCAAAGATCAGATGTGCTCTAACCAGGCACTTGCCACATGAGGCAATGGATCTGTCAATCACATGCTGACACCTCAAGGTCTACTGGCAGGCTCTTTCTCCCCGAGTGATCAGAGCTGAGGCGAAAGATTGCAACGATAACTCCTCTACAGTGGACACAATTAATACGCTATTATATTCCGCACTGGCCATCACTACACTACCTCACAGGGGCAAATTGGTGTAACTTTCACATATGCTATTTGTATCTACTTTGATTAAATTTTGAACCTGTGTAAATCCAGCTGCTTTTAACTTGTCTGAAGAGCTATAGTATTTTTTATAAATAACATATTTTGACCAAATGTAGCACTTCATAATTCTAAGGTCATGCTGTAGCCTGCCTCTCAGCTACACTGAATCTTATTCACGGCACTGCTTATATCCTGACAGTTCTTCAGTCTGAAATTTTCCACTCCTCACTGTCCTTATTCTTCAGCTTAACCCCCTGTATCACTATGTCATTCATTTGCTTTGCTCACATTAAAGCCAGTAGAAATCTTAAAAGCCTTCTTTTTCTACCCTCCGCTCTCCTCCACTGTATTGCTCTCCCCTCTCTCAGCTGCACACGGCTGACCTGTCAGTCTGCATTATCAGTGCTGGGGGAGTGTTGATAGAAAGCCGGGACAGAGCGGCATTAAAATATTAGCTAGCCTTGAGAGAGAAAAGGAGGTGAAAAAAAAAGGGGGGAGAGAGAGAGAGAGAGAGAGAGAGAGAGACACTGGGAGAAGAAGTTGAATGAGTGAAGTGACTGAGGTCACCACTGTCGCTGCCCATTGTTGATGGAAATGACACGAGGCTTGTCTAATAGCCACTGAACATGCTCTGCCAGCTTCAAGGTGCTAGATTGGATGAAAAGATTGGCATCACAATTATGCTGCATAGATTACTTTCTGGTTTGGTATCAGTGTGAGAACAACCGAGAATAACAGCCGTCATTATGATGAGAAAAAGAACAGGACACAAAGCTTATAGATTAAGCAACAATACACATGTGATCAATAGACTTTATGATCAATTCCTTTTGTGGTGCGTATCATTACAGGCTGGTCAGTTTGACTGCCACACATGTCTGAGAGAGACTATTATCCTGAGAAACACAGCCTCTCTATAAAACATCTTATTTCTCAGACTGATGACAGTGATTGGAAAAAATAAGAGGCCTTGCTGCAATGCAATAATTGCACATTACAAGGAAACGCTAGTGCAATAAACTTCAATAAAGCGATTAAAACAGATTAAAACAATTTGCAAAGTGAAATGCTTTTCTCTGGCGAGAAGTCAAGCAGATCTCTCAGTCTTATGCCAGCGCCTCTGTGCTCCATATTTGGTGACAAAACATGTTATTTAGTTGCGATAAATCAAAGCCTGCAGTGAACGGTGAGGCCCTCATGGTCAGGCAACTACCGAGAGCTGTTATCTGATTGTTCTCACACTCTTAGCCTGCACAGGCCTTTGCTCCAGTGTTAACCTCTCAGTCAAGCTGACAGCTCTGTGTCTTTTAACTGCCAAGATAAATCACTGTGCACACTTCCCGCTGTCACCAAGGCAACACCTTATATTTTCCAGCAACATCGTACCTTTGCCTAGCGAGCAGTCTGGAGTGCCAAAGTCCATCAGGCTGGATATCTCTGTCGGGTAGCACATGTCTGTCACCACTGTCTTCTGTCTGTGATGCACTGATGGATCTGCAGAGGACAGACATTAACGATGAATTTAAAAATGTCATTCAAATCGAATCTTTATACTGTCATCAAAACTTCTTATTCATATTCACAAAGCCAGGTTATTCAAATATGTTAATATAAGTGTGTGAGTGCCGTGTGTGTACAGCTGTGAAGCTGTAGCAGCCCTGTTAAATCAGATGATTCATTCTGACGTTGTGTCAATTTGGCACACACCCCTGAGCTTTCAGACACATCGCAAATATGAACCTCTCCTACAAATCACTGAAGTTGTGTTCGGCATTTCAAAGCAATAACAACGCACAAACTGAAATAGTCATGATGCAGCCTTGTCTCATTATTTTACTATGCCTGACTAACCTTTCATTCTTTTCTCTTGCTTTAGATCAGTTGCTTTCTTTTCTAAATCTCTCACACCTTTTCTTCATCTCTCCTTTCCTCAAATGAAATCTATAAATATTTATATTTTTTCTACAATGCCCCGCAGACCCATTTCTGCTCTATGTACATTCAGCTAATGACATTGATCAAGGCTTTCTCTGAGCTCCACTGACTGAGGTTTGCCTACTCCTCATTTTCTCTCCTTTCACATACTGTAGTCATTTCAGGAAGAAAACGTATTGAAGCTGGATGTATCTCCTTTTAAATCATCAAGGCCCCTCTGTCCACTGCCTTTCCTATACCCCCTTTTCTAAATGTTTCACCTCCGTGTGTAAAGCATGAAGTGCTATAAGAAATGAGTGATTATTGGAGGCAGGAATATTCTCGCTGTGAGTGCTTTTGTGGAGCAGACACCATAGCAGCACGGTGGAAATGATTTTCTCTTGAAGAGGGCTTCAGATCCCACTACTGATCTGAAATCTGAAAGTAATTGTGCTGATCTCATACGTCCTTCTGAGCCTATAAATGTCAGATTTCATGTCAGATAAAGGCATGACAGCACCTCCTGTACGTGTGCAAATGAAGTACTTAAACAGAACATGTATTCTAGTTCAACCATGAACCTCATCCATGAGCTACAGCAATAATCATGTACCATCAGATGCTTTCAGCTGTTCCATCTGCACAACCACTCTTCCACAACAGTGACCTCACTCTTCCCCTCCTAATCTACATATTTTGACAGCTTCATTTTCATGGCCGTATGGTATTTATCTAAATCACTGACCTTCCCCTCCCTTATCCCCTCCTCCGTCCCCCTGACCTGTCGATAATTGTTAAAGTGTTGTTAGGCTGACCTTTTCCTCTGTCTTTAATATGGAGATTGGGCTCATGCTCGCATGCTTAGCCGCTAAGGCTGCCTTACTTAGCACCAACAACAATTAGAGGGGGAGAGAAAGAGAAACAGAGAGGATGAAGCAGCTGGAACTGGGACAAATTCAAAGACAATCTATTCCAACACTTAGCTGAAGGTGTCGGCTCTTTGTACACATAAAAATAAAGATGTCAACACATAAATGGATGGCAATAAGAACCTCTTCCTCAATTTGGAGAGCTGGTATTCAAAATATAGCTGTAAATGAGAGCTGTATTTTGATTATTACACAGGATTTTGGGATATGTTTGCCTCCTTCATGTGTGTGTTTCATATGATAAACATGTTCCACCTCGATACTTCAACATATTTGGTTGTCAGAGCTTGTTTCACTGGTTTAGGTGACCTCCCATTCCAAAGGAGTATTTTGTTAAAGGGGGAAACACCCTGTCACTGTGTCTGTGCTGCAAAGCATGTGAATGTGCATTAGGCAGAATGGGAGTATTCTGAGTAGTAGTATATCTGCCACTTCACCTCTGCCTGGTTGAACCTCTGCTGTGAGAGGTCAAAGGTTATGGAAATGATGAGGCAGAGCTGTGCTGGGATCTCTGTAACCCAGCCAACCAGATCAGGCAGCACATGGAGCACAAACAACAGGCTAATGATTGTGATGTCAACCAATATCAAAACAATCTGCAGGATTGCAGATTTCTTCAGCAGTTATCTCATATCACATCTCCATCTGTCAATGAAATAATGCGTTGTTACAGTGATAAATCTGCAGTAAGCCTGTTGTCTGGTCTGGTCATATTGAATGGCGATTACTATTAAAGTCAGCAGAAATGAAAAAAACAAATTCTTTTTTGCAATCAAAGGCCATGTAAAGGTGACAAATGTATTATATATGGGCTCATATATAACCTGAAATGTTCCCGTAGTCCTTGTGCCTCTGGAGGAGCGACCTGTTATGTGTGTTTGACAGACAGCTGAGCTGATGTTGTGACAATTTTAGCTGCTCTCGAAGGATGAGCTGGAATAAAAGTGCATTAGATTGAGGCAACTTAATGTGTCCCATATCTTTAAAAATGGACTAGCTTAAAAGCAAAGAAGGTCAATATGTGCTGTATCTTACATTATAGTCTTCTATATTTTATTATTATACCATTGGTTTTGCGATATGATGGGTATCTCCATGAGAACTCCATCCAAAGAAAGACCTACTTTTATTTAAGCAGCGCACGCACACTCTCACACACACTCTCACACACACACACACACACACACACACACACACACACACACACACACACACACACACACAGGTGTTTTACTAGACTGAACCTAGCCAAGGAATAAGCTTATACGAGGTGACCAAACTTCACAGACCAATAAGAACAGACTTTATTCACATGAGACATTTTGACTTGTCACAGTGAGAAAAGCACTTACATTAACAATACCTCGGCTCTGTTCAGGTGTCCTAGTAAGTCATGACAGAGCGACAGTGAGCCAGCATGAACAACAGCAGGTCCCTGACACTGAAGCAGCTAAATGGAATTCAGCCATCATTCATTTTATCATTTACACCTGTGCTTTTCTTACCGTGACACGTTAAAACTGAGATAAACTTTTAACAAACTTGTTCCTTTGCAGCTGCAGTTTGAGAGCAGTCAGCGTCACATTCAAAGCTGATGAAAGATGATTGACGCTATCAGATGTGATTTTAAAAAACACCTACAGGGGGCACCTGTCAGTTCACTGTGAAACAAGAAGTATGTATTTTTTTTCTCCCTTTTGGTTATTTTCCTCCAAAGAGAAACAATATATTTCATTCACAGTGCAGATTTATATTACAGTAGGAAAAATACTCATTGTCAGGTGTTATTATCAATCTTTTTAGAAATTAAAGAGGTTTCCTTGCAAATGACAAGGGAAAAAAACATCACCCTGACGGTATCACAAGGGAAAACACCCATCAGTTCTTAAAGGCAACATGCTGAGAGTGTGTGACTGCAGAAACACCCCCAGGTGGGACAGGAAGTGAGAGAAGCTATTCATCTCATACAACTTCTTCTCCCGGCCAAACACTCAGCTGAGGGGTGCAGACGACATGCATGGCACATGATGGAAAGAGGAGACAAACACCCAGTGGGAGTCCGAGTGGCTATTCAAGACAAAAATGGGAGGCAACTATCACTGGTGTGCAAACAGCTCATCTTTGCCCACCCTCAGCCAACCTTTAATTACACTGGCATTCAGTCCGTCATGCGGCAGACACATTCATTCCTGTATCAGTCATCGCACCGGAAAGGAAGAGCACATCATGGTGCTACTGTGGACGCACAATGCCCTGAAATGCGGTCCCACTGAGGGCACTAACACGGCTGCATGGTTTGCATCATTCTAAGAAACTAATGCAAACCCGTATAGGCACCACTTACAATAATTCACAATGACTTGTAAGACGCTGTCTGACTGTGTGTGAAAGAGAGGGCTGGCTGTGAGTGTCGATTGGTAATCAGAGTAGTTCTTACAGAACAAAAGGTCACTGTAGTGGTTATTGTTTCCACATATTCTCAACCACTTAAAGGTTATAGGGTCTTTGTTCGGGGAGGAGAACTATAGTGTGGTGCAGATTAAAATACAGCAATTCAAGCCTTGGCAATGGCTACTGAGGAGATCTTTTTTTTTCTTAATTGCTTATTCTATTTTGTGAGCAGTGAGAGAGATGATAAAAAAAGGAAGTATTAGAACAAAAGAAGTGGTAAAAATCTATAAATGATAAATAACACTGGTACAAAAAGGAGTTAAGATGTTCATGTCATTATCCTAAAATGTAAAGCCCTAAAGAATTGAACAATTTGATGTAGTACACAATAATGATCCCCCATTGGCATAACAATAACAGTAGTGTTTAAATTTCTATTATTTCCTCTCATGCATTTAAATTGACACGACATAATGTGAGAAGAATTTGAAACACTTCCTAAATGAAATTTCACAGCAGTGCCGACAGTGAATAAATTAACAGAGCTAAATGATGTGAACCCTTTTGGGTTTCTAACCTTTGGCACAAGACCGAGCCAGAAACCCATCGCCTGGTTACATAAGACAACGGGAATGAGTTTGGTTGAGATATTTAGTGTCTGAATATTTCACAAGGGAGGCTGCTCATCCCTGACCCTGGCGCTCACAGGTCCCCTCTGGTATTATCAGGCACAGACACATGGAGCTCATCCAAATCCCAGTGTACAGAACTCCCACACTGAGGCACTCCCACATCACCCTGCATCTCCACTGTTAGGTATCATTAACAGCCTTTGACACAGATGGCAGTGATGAAGTGAAAATAAATCTCCTTTATCATGGGGCTACATATGAAATCTAAAACTTGTACCAAAAAATACTGTGTAAATGTGAAAATGACAAATTGAATGACAAATTGAAGCTTCTATAAAAGCTGGCTGTAAACATGTCAAATCATTATTTAACAACTGCAGTGAAATACGTTGGGGCGAAGTTGACTTAGTATTCAACACACTATTCCCATAAGAAAAGCAACAGATAGATTTCTCCTAGGGGACAGATTGAAAGTGAAACTAAATGCTATATATCGAAGGTCGAGCTGTCACATCTCTATTATACAGTCCAACCATGCAGCCACAACACTGCAGCAAAATGTCATTTTTCTAACATTTTACTTTGCCTGGAGCTGAAAACATACTGTCTATTAATCTGTGTTCATAAT